GTCACAGATGTGAATACCAATAAAACCAATAGCCATTTTTTTGACTCGTATTTCTTTTCTCCCTGCAGTTTTAGGGCGACTTTAAATTTTAAATCACATTTTATTTATACTTTTAATCTATTCTACATTTTATTCCTTATCCCTGTTGCTTTCTCTCAAGACTTCCATAAAATTTGCTGGACAAAAGGGGCATCTTGCAAAAAGCTCACTCCTCTCTCTTTAACAATCCTGCTGGCAAGTAATTTCCCCATACCCATTCATCTGCTACCTCCCAGAGAAAAGTACTGCAAATTACAGTATCAGGACCTTGCTCTTGCCTTCCCAAATGAAACCAGCCATAAGAGTGAACCAGCATGGTCCTTGGATCCTCAGATTACAATAAACACCCCCTTTACCTGCACTTCCCTCTTCAAATAATTCCATGACCAAAATAATCAGTACCCTATAGCAGCTGTGTGGGTCACAAACAACTGCGAATAGAGGGTCCTATCTTTTCTTCTCCGTTCCCAAATATCAGTGGCAAAATGGAAAAGGTAGTATGGGAAGCATGCTGGCAGAGCACCTAGGAGAATACTATCAAATGCGCTCCTGCCAACCAAGAACTCGACTGGTAACCTTAACCAGGAAGGTCAAGGAGTACCAATACACAGAGTTTAAAACTGAACTGCTAATTCAAATTATGAAAAATAACATCCCAAACTGTGGTTTGGGGTGTGAACGGATCACATCTATCCTAAGTCACTGTAACCCATCACCTGAGTATTCCCCAGTTCAGGGTTCAAGATCTGTAAGTAACTTTTTTTCCATTTACATGCGCTTTTGTTGTTTTTACACTTCATACAGCTCTTGGGTTTATTAGTTCAGTAAGACCTGTTCACTCATGTGTTGCTGAGAATGCCTTAATGCTCTGTGAATCACCAATAACACAGAGCTTTACACCTTATTTGGTGTAAAAAGAGGAAAACTGCTGGAGCAAAACATAAAAAAAAAAAAAAAAAGTTAGCCAGAAGCTGTCTTGTTGTAAGCACAGGCATTTATCAGTTATTAGTCATTAGTCGAAACTGATAATGATGAGTTTTCAATGATGATAAAGCACTGCCTGCTGCCAAATAGTGCCTCAAAATTGAGAAAGGTACTTAAAACTTGCTTCAGATGAGCAGCTGGGTGCATGCCAACTTTTTACATGAACAGTCATAAGCATGTTCCTGCACAGCAGGATGTGATCAAACTATTCAAAGCTGTAAAACCAGGTTTGCTTGCCAGTTATGTTATTGCTTCAAGATCAGTGTATTACAGATGGTACTTTGCCAGCCATGAAACCACTGTTTTTCCTTAACAACAAATTTTACGCTATTAATGTTTAAAACTCTGTATAGAACTGACTGTTCCCAATTAAAAACAAAACAAAACAAACCGCCAAAAATAATGAACCCAAAAAAAACCAACCAAAAAATAAACAAAACAAAACCGCAACAAACAAGCAAAAAAATCCCCCTCCCCCCCCCCCCCAAGAGAAAACAAAAACACTCCTCCTGCCCCCACCTCCAAACACAAACAGTTTAAAGAATGAAAGTTAGGACTGAAAAAGTATCAAACACAGTCTCCTGGACTATAAGCCATCTCTTATTTAGCTTTAAAAAATTACTTCTGTCAAGCTGTACCAATTAATAGGTCCCCTTCTCTAAACCAAAAGAAAAGTAATTGTAATGACTTATTCAAGACCTCAGCTTCAGCTGCCAATGCTGTAATGATATTAACATTCCTGTCCAGAAGGTGTGATGTGGTTAATAGGTGGTTGAGACATTGCACTTTATTGCCTCCTGCTGGAAACCGCTTCTTTAGAAGTATTTTATGAAGATCACACAATGTGACTATGCCATATGTAATCTTCACTAAATGTCTGTCACTAACTGGTTTACTCAAGAAAATAGTTTAAGAAAAGCAGAACTGTAGTACAACAAACTGAACAACTACTTTTTTCCTTGAATGGGTTAAGACAAAATTGAACATTACAGACTGATGTTTTAGTTCTCATGACAGCCAGCATCTTTTTCCATTTTCCTTTCAGAGGATCAGCCATAAAACAGGCTCAAACTCCCCAGTATAACACAGTATCTGTTAACTAACAAACATATCTTAGCAAATACAACCAAACAGTTGAGTTTGTTTTTTTAAGGGGGTTGGTACAGGAGAAGATGGATGTCAATGTTTAGCCACGCTTTAGTTGTTTGTTTTTTATTCACTTGAAAATACATACTAAAAGTAGTATCAAATATTTGAGTTTATACCATTTTATTTGTTTTCGCACATACAAAAAGTAGTTTGCATATTTGCTAAGCAATCTAGTGAATGATCTAAGATTACATACACATGCACAGCTCAATACAGTTATAGAAGTGCCTCTATTTGCTTCCCAGTAAGAAGTAGCTTTCACATTTGAAATCTCAAAAACATATGCAGAGGCTCTTTGGTGTTACAGCTTAAAAAAAACCCAACATTTTCATGACCTTTCCCTAAAATGGACAGTGTTCTTAATTTTTTGAAGAATAAAAAGAATTATTCAAGTAAAATTCAAATAGAAGAATCACAACTAGCTAACTACTGTCAAGTATGCTGCAAAGCGGCCCCATTAAATATAATTTAACAGTATAACTACCAATATTCCAAAACTGACAAACTGCTCCCCCCCCAACCCAACCAAAAAAACTCCAAACCAAAAACACTTTCAAAGACTAGCTGAAAGCCATTTGTGTTTACCTGGTTGTAGGAAAGGTACAGTTTATAGTGTCTGTTCTCTAGGAGTATAACCTATTCCTTGAATAAAATTGAAGAAATGTGTTCAAGCAGTGAGGGCTTTTGTGTTATTGTTTCTTACTAGGCAAATTCTTACTATTGTTTCTTACTTACCTTTTCCAGAGGATAGCCACAGCATGCTAATGGTTTACTCTATTTCTGCTTTGCCTTAGCCTGTTCTCATAAATCCCTCCCTCATGCTTGATGTCACTTCCACCAAAAAGAAAGATTTTAACCTGCAGATGTTATGAATGCCTGAGGCAACCTCAGATCTAAATTCCAATAATTTGCATTTGTTATGCTAAGCATATACATCCCCTAAATTATAACTAGTCCCTTTGTGGTCTAATGTAGGAATCCCTCTCCTATTGTTCATGATGTTAGAACTGTAATAACTACCGCTATTGCAATGTTAACAAAAGACTACTAATAATTCAAGTATGGTATGAATTCCCAAGGAATCTTCAAGTGAGAAATGTATGTTGAAATGGTAGCTTCAATTACAAGGACCTATTTTCTAGATTCAGGAGTTACAGTCATAAAAGCATCAAATATGCAAAAACAAAAACATAACCAATGGTATTAATTGCAAATGGTATCACAGTAGTACAGCTTAACACAAAATATTTAAATTTTCATTCAGTGAGGATTTATTATGTTATTTATTTATATTTTTAGCTGCACTAGCTACTTAACATTACCTGTGCTTTTTGCTGACAGGCCGAAAGATGACTTTGCTAGTTGCAGTACTTGAGCCATTACTATATAAAAATAATTATCTTTAATAATTCCCAAGCTGATTACTTGGGAAAAACACTTCCTTAAACAGGCTGCTTAAAAACCAATTCAATTAAAAAGCATACTAAAATGCCCTACAACAACATTCTTCTGACATTCACTGAAGTTTTATCGTCCAAGTGTGCCTGAAAGTCCACTCTGCAAACAAGCAAAACCTGACAAAATAAAAATAAAAGTACTAGAAGATCCTTCTCTCTTGCTGAAAGTTTGTCTATTGTAAGCTGCTTAATTTTCAAATGCCCTGTGTAAAGAAAAATGAATATAAACTTTTGGCAGGACTGTTGGATGTTTCCCAGTAGTTATGCTGCTCATCATTATTACAAAAGCAAAAGAAAGTAGACTGAAAAAGTAAAGTTCCACCATTAACGTCTTCCAACATTAACAGCCTTTGTAGTGCACACTGGATAGAGACACAACATATTTAAGCACCAGGCAGTTGGGACTTTCAAGGTTAAGGTAAGGGAGAATGTAAAAACAACAACTGCAATAAAGTGAAAATTGCAGGGTGTGTACAAGAGACTCTTTTATCAGGAGACTTTCCAATACAACATGAATTTAATCTACATTATCAATAGCATCCAGGATCACAAAACTGACTTTAAATCCAATAGAAATTAGTTACATGCGAGCAAACTTTGGTAACTCACATGAAAAATCTAAATTTTCAATATTGGAAGAGTCAGATGAAATTTCTTGCCTGGGATTAATACATCAGGAGTTTCATCCAGTCTAAATCCTGGACTGCTCCTCCCTACAGCCTGGTCTATTGAGTTACGTCTAGGTTAAAACCCAGCAACAAAAACTTTGCATGTGTGTGGGGAAACACAGCAGAAAAACTTTTCCATGATATGGTAAAAACAAGGAGACTGCATGGTGAAGAGAATGAAGACAATATTGTTCTGTGAAAATAGGAAATGGCAGGGAATGATTCATCTGAGGGGAAAAAGGACCTCAGGTTCTTTTAAGTCACATAGGAGAAGTGTAAAGACTGTGAGAATCAAGTACCACATGTTGTTTTTAAATCTGTGAATGTAAAGCAACAGATAGATTAATTGCTTGCATTGTTACCTGCTTTACTAATTATCTTTTTTAATGTATATTTCTGCCACTTATAACTCTTTACAAATCCTTGAGACCAAGCTGACTGTTATCCAGTGCATTACACCAATACAGCATACAGCAAAACTAAGACCTTAATAGCTTTTTAGATTGGTCAATATGCTGAAAATAATTTTGCTTTAAAAAACAGGAGACAGCTAGTGCTCAGGTGAATCATTAATAAGCCCTTTACCACAAGGGCTCTCTTTGAGATTTTCAATAGTGAAAAGTCAAAACAAACAAACAAAAAAAGCAAAACAAAAAAACCCCCAAAAGTTGTATTGAGTGATTATATACTTGTAGAGACTTACTTGATACAAAGCAGCATCCCGTTGTTCTATTACTGCATTCATTTCCTCAGCTATTATTTTCTTTTTAAGTTCTTTGGTCCTGTGTATTCGATTCAGAATTATAGCTCCATTCTTCAGTATATCTATCCCTGTGTCTGCATTGTTTATTCTGTTCAGTAATTCCTGTAATGTCTACCAACAGCATTATATGTTAGTCAGACATGAAGTTTTAATATATTTTATTTAATATAGGGTTTTAATTAATAGGCACATGTGAATTGTAAATTGACCGAGTGAAGTTATTGAATTTTCATATTGCAGCAAAGATGTACATTATTAGTGTGTCAATTCTTCTTTTTCCCACATCTTAGTTCTTGAAACCCACTCAATTGAACTTAAGCCTCTAAGATATAAGACTGACATCAAGAAATCTCCTCAGAGAATGGCTTACCATGTCATTTTCTTCAGGGTTAATATTTTCTAGCCTAGAAAAAAGGGACACAGAAAGCCTGATCAGTAGCATTTCCTTAGTGCAGCAAAATGAGTTCGCTTTTTAAATCTTTAGAACCTCAAGTAATTTCATTCTACTAGTCTTTAGAGTCAACCATGACACTGAACATATTAAAGTGCCACCTGCTCGACTCCATCTTTCAATAATGCTCCATATCTTCGGCACTGACTTCAGACTGTTAAGTTATTAATGTTTACTGCTATATATGACTACAAGGATCAATTGTTCATATGTGCTTAGATGAAGAAAGTTCCCCAGTGATAGAAATGACTGATGCTTTTATTGTATTTATTTCTGGACTTACAACTTTTACCTCACTTTGTATTTTTGTTGTTTTTACTGCACCCCAAATAAAACAGGACAGGACTTTTGTGGAGAGTTCTGGGGTGGGGTGTGCTTACTTTTCATTTGTTTGCTTGTTTCATTTTAAAGTAATTCTTTTTTCCACCCTTCTCCTCCAAAATGCAGAAAAAAGCCTGAGTTGAAGTTTCCTTAGATGTATTTTCATTTTATATGTTGCATAAAATATCAAGCTAAGCCAGTTCTCTGCAAGGCCCTTATTTAATTCTAGAACAACCCCTCCCCTCTGCACTTTCTTCCTATTTCAACAGAACATATATTGACCTCTCAAATACAAAGATGATACGAATTTAGTCATACAGCACTGAACACTGGCTATGCAAAAGCAGTAATAACACAAAAATCTAATAAATGAGATAGTATGCATTTTATTCTACCCAAGGTCAGTTATATGGACAGCACATTATTTAAAACACTTAGGCATATTTTAAAATGGAAGAGACCTCTTTTCTGGAAAATGAGCATATTAAAATTACCTTACTGCTCCACTGCTAGTTACTTAATGGTGATTCCTACTAAAAGTAGTTCTGTCACTAGCATGCAATATTTTAAAAGACAGATGTAGTACCATTAAATATCTACCAAACAGCAACACACACTTTTTCAACAGTGCTATGACAGGTGCTGCTGTGAAGCCAAGATTTTAGCTAGCAAACATCGTAGAGGACTTGACAGCACACTAGCACCTTTGAAGCATTAGTTTTCAGATAACACAACATAAGGCACAGTAAATCAACCAGTACAGGAATTAATTATTTAAATAATAAATAAATAGTTCAGAATGTACTAGCAGTGTACAACAGTTGGTGTGTTTATATGGAACTCATAAGCAGTAATTACTCCAACATATACAGTAGAAACAGAATTAAACAAAATAAAAGCTAACCTTTGCTGGGTTTGACTTGTATTCATAAAATAACACAAATCATAAAATAAAAAATATAAGACCAAATTCTCAGAACTGGCTCTTTGACTTGGCTCCTTGTAGAGTTTGCTCCTGCTTTAGGTTTTAATATTGCTCTAAGTGCCACTTCATGTGGGACTTAAAAATGGATCACCAGCTAGTTTGTATTCACAATGAAAAGAATGGTATTTGTCAAACTAAATTGGCAGGACTGACCTGGCCTCTCCAGAGGACTTCTACCCTTCTAAAAGTGTGGGTCAACAAAATCACCCAGCTGACCAACAGGCTGCGTAAGCAAAACACCCTAGGGAGATTGAGGTTGGGAAAAAGAACAGGAACTTTTACTGTAAGTATAGCCCTTCAGCATATTACTGTCAGAAGGGGTCTGTCTGTTGGTATACATACACCCCGTTAGCTGATGGTATTCTTTAAGCAGCAGCATCTGGAACTGTGTTTGCTCTGCTGCCTCTCCCTGTGCTGTGCACAGGCAAAAAGCAACCCTTAGATCTCATGATGTCAAACAGTAGTAAAGAAGAATTCCTTTGCCCCCCATTTCTACGTGCATTCTGCTAACATAAAGCCTAGAGCCAACAGGACTGAAAGAATTTTGGTTGTTACTGTTAATGATAACAGAATTGCTCCAGCTGCGAATTTAAAGAAAGCATTAAAGCATTTGATAAAGGCTGGCAGGCTGTTCAATACTGCCTTCTTGTAAAGACCTCTGATTAGAATAAGTGCAAAGCAGATGGAAGGAGTGACCTGTGCTCTAGAACTTGATGAGTGAAGCACAAGTAGCCAATGCTGTTTAAAAAAACCCAAACCTCTATGTGCTTCACATCTGAGACAGAGAACCTGACCTTTTGAACAACCAACAGAAAGCATTAAGGGTGGTAGCTGGAAAAGTTCCAAGATTCCAGAAGAAACTCCAAAATTAAATAAAATAAACCAAGTCCTTCATGGCTCATCCCATCACCTCTACTCCTTCCAAAGGATTAGTGAAGTGGTGAGGTGAACACAAAAAAAAATCCATTCAGCCACAGTAATAAACTATTCAGAACGAAGAGGCTGAGAAAAGTAATCTCCTCATGGAGTTGACTGCTTTCGAGAATGTAGCACCTCAATTTGACTCTTCTCTGTCACAGTCCTGGCTTTGTCCTCTCACTGAAAAATGGCAGACCTCCAGGCAGACACAGAAACACATATCTTGTCACCTCAACTGAGATATTACTGCAGTTAGTAAAGATGCCCAATGTTCGGAAAAGCCTGAGTGATGGAGCCAGGCTGGTGCTCTAGCAGGAATCTTGGCTCCACTCAACCATTTCATGTTTGCAAGGTATAGAGCCGCATGAATAAGCATCCTGTAAACTTGGAACAAGTAGGCAAGAAGAAAAGTCTCTGACCACGATGGAGGCAATCCTGCCTTCTTGGCTCTATAATGCCCCAAAATTTCAAAACCAGCAAAGAAATGTCTTTAAAAATAAATAAATAAATAAATAAATAAAAGAATAAATCCCTCCCATGTGCCCCACAAACCAGTAATGACAATAAGAAATGTCATTTCCTGGGCATGACTCTTTCCAATGACCTGCCATTGCCACATTTGGTCTTTGTAATACAGAATGGGAAACCTGGAAAATACTGGAACAGTACACATGCAGTCTGGCAAGGACAACCTTTGAATTAAATTGTTTTTGTCCCAGGTCTAGTGTCCTGGTTAGTCCATTGTAATTTTTACCTGCTGTGTTTGTGTTCTCCACAGGGAAATCACTTATGCCAGTTCTGAGACTGTGAACTGGCAAGTCCTCTCTATAAAGCATCAGAAAGAGCACCCAAGTGGATGACAGCTACAATTGCTATTCTCTAGGTGATAGCAATAAAATATAATAGCTTGGCTACAAGCTATCAGCCTGCCAGGGGAATTGTTGATCCTGTCCTTGGAGCAAGTACTTTCTTTGTCATTGCAGGGTACCCAGTGCCTTCTGAAATGATGTTCCTTTGGGGAAGGTAGAATGCGTTTTCTCAAAGAAACTGAGTTTCTTCTCTTTTCTCATCTTTCTGCTTAGAACCGAGTTCGTCTTCCAGTACATGAGTAAAAGCAGACAGAAGGGACTGAGGGGTAAACAAGTGATTTGTGTGTCAAGACTTGCCACATGTATGTCTATGGATTCCACAGCAGAACAGGCAACAATGTACTTCTCACACACTGAATAACCTGTGATTTCTTCCAGAAAACCAAAAGTCATTGGCTAGGTCTGTCAACCAGAATAATTAATTAATAATTAAGATCTTGAACTTATGCTAACAGCTTCTACACAGTTTCATTTGATGTTTGGGGCCATTCTTGCTTTCTTTACTCTTGGAAAACACAGAGTTAGAAGAGTGACAGAAGAAATTGGGAAGACTGGAGCAAGGCTCACAGTTATGATGCCTCTTACAGGAATTTCAAGCATGTTGGTAATTTCCTGAGATATTGCTGTATAGAGCAAGATTTCAGATGCACATACGCCCATAATGGGCTCTGTAGAGACATTTACTCTAACAAACTGCACTAACTAATGAGGGAATGGAATCTTCTAATCCCGCCGTTGAGTCATACTTACAGGCTGTGACAAACTCTAGCAACTTGTAAATTTCACAGAGTAATAGCGCACAAGCTATGCATAGATTATTGAAATTTATTTAGATAACATTCTCTGGCCTTACCTACTAAAGTAGTCCAAAGATGATGACTGGTTTTCTGCCACAAAGAGGAAAGAGTGTTCTTAGCAGAATCAATTATTTAAAACATAATTGCCTGCCATTCAGTTAACTAACAACTGCACCTATACTGTTTCCTACCATGAAAAACTCTATCTGCTTTGTGTATCTTTTGGCAGAAAGATAGGAGAAATTTCTCAGCCACATTAGACTTTGAAGGACTACTACAGATGGTAACAAAGATGACCACAACTTGGATGGAGAAAAATTACATGGAGAGGCAAACTGTAGTTTCAGAGTTGCCTATATCCTAAAGTAAGAAATGGTTCTTGATCTTCTGACTTAACAGTTTTGCTTAACATGAATTTGACTATTTTTGCTGTGTTAACATGGCATACATAAAACTCTGTGAAGTATTAATTATATCCTTATTGCCTTACAAACTAATCTTACACTGAAGGAAAAAAAATACATGCATTTTTACTACATCACCCCCTTCATTAGCAGAAATTTTACTGAAGGAAATGTCTAGTGGGCTTAAAGGCTTGATTGATTTCCTATACATTGCAACTTCTGACTGACATTCTGGTATTCTCTGTCAAAAGATCCCTATGAAATATCGCATTTGTCTTATTTATGCCTGAATAAATCAATACCAAAGCTTTTGATTATATTTTTAATTTTTGTGACCAAAATTATTCACTTAGCTCTCAGTCACCAGAGAAAAATAAGGTCCCATAGGATGGCTAACAAATTAATCTGCAGACAGTATGACTGGCACTAGCCTGGTATGCCACAATAGAGAAGTTTGTGCAAAATTTTCCCATATAATCACTTTCAAACAGTTTATGACAGTCACAGACTGGCACAATAACTTTTTGCACAAGGCAGGAATTGTATACTTACTCTTTGAGACACTCTTCTAAATGCTGGACTCGTAGAAATGCTTCATCCCTCTCTTCATTGGCTAACCTAAGCCTTGCCATGACAGCCTTGTCACGTTCCCGTTGAGCAGAATAAACTTCTTCCACTAGAGCTGCAGAAGTAACCAGTATGTTTAATAAACAAGTTTGACAGGGAAAGACACTATTAAATGCACTTACATGGGCCTTTGCCAACATCTCCTAAAATCAACATTTCTCCACTGACCTTGGATTACTTTGGATAAGGTCTATTACTCTTTAGACACAACATTAAATTGCTTTTGATTGCTAAAATGAATACTTTAAGGAATGAAATAAAGCTATGTGTTTTCACATTCACCCTTGTATAATTAAACAGGGAAATGATTTGCTTTGCATTCTGAATACTTGCTTAATGGAAAAGTAATTGTTAAAGCTCAGAATTATGAGACACTAGTAGATTTCTTCTAAGACACAGAGTTAAAAGTAATGATCCATTAAAACTATTTGTAACATCACACTGCTTACTATCAGTGTGGCATACTGATATTAAATATGAAAAGTTCTAATATTTTGACACTCTGTCTTTGGTATCCCAACAGTGGCACAGCTGGCATCTCTCCTTCTCTGGCAAGTATTTTCTTTATTGTGTAATATACTGTTATATTATCTGTTACGGTATACATGGACCTTGGAGTATTAGGTGCCAATAAACTAAGATTTACTGTCTATCCTTGGGAGCAAACTAACACTTTCAAGTCATTCCTCATCCTGAGCTTAAGCATTCTCCCTGCCTTTCCCCTGTCAATATGTCTAACACCATCTCTGGCACACTGCCAGAATCCTTACCCCGACCCTGCCTACACTAAGATCTTTATTCATACTTTCATAATTTCCCTCTGCAATACTGCAAATCTCTCCTCTCAGACATCATTAAACTCTGCAGTTGAAATAGCTAGGGACTTTCAGAACGCCATAGTAAGACTGCTGTCACTCGAAGACAGAGGTCTATATCCTTCTCCAACTGTCACAGGCACCTCCAAAAAAATTAAACTGAGATCTGTAGGTTCCAGAATTCTCCATGCTCCCCTTCTAGTCTGCCAAGCTGATGTTTAGCCACAGTCTCCTAAGATCATACTGCAGTTTCTTTTGAATGTTGGCATTTGTTTCTCAAACACTTTCTGTATTAAGTCATTACGTCTGGGCTTCCTTAACTGCTTCAGAGCTCTCTACCCCTCTCTGAACCATTCCTTAAGTCATTAAGAGCCCAAAGAAAGGCTTCCTCCCTCTTCACATTAGCCTAAAGCTCTCACCCCTCCATTCTTACCTCAATTGATGTCAACTTTGTTGCCTTTATATGCTAATTTATTCTTACTTCACCTTTGGACATTATTGTATGAAAACTGATTAGAGTGATATAAACCACTTTATGGTTCTTCACAGAACAGAATCATAGAAGCATAGTAGTACATTTTGGTAGCAGCTATACTGCTGACACACAATACACTTTAGCAGTACTGAAGAAAAAAACCAACTAAAAATTCAATCTCCCCAGCTGAAACACATGAAGTGATAAGTTTCTGTACAGTTCATAAGGAGCTCAGATAACACAGGGGCATAAGACGAGTGAGATGAATATTCATCTCCCAAGAGATGAATTAGGAAGACGTTCAAAGTAGGAAAGCAATCCTCTTGTCCTCAAGCTGGGGAGAAAAGTGTTCCTCAGGTGTAAAGAAACATTTTTTGCAGGTCTAGGAAAAGGCTGCATGGTAACAGCAGACAGGACAAAAGAAGACAGGAAAAGGCTGAATGTTACTTCTGGAAGTTCAGTCCCTCCTCTCACAAAAATCTGCAGAAGAGCTGCAAACCTAATCATCAGGCCAGAGCTGTAACCAGTTATGACCCATCAAAACAACAAAAAAGCCCAACAAAGAAATTCATTATAAGAAGCATAAATCTTGAAATATACACAAAATTTAACACTCATTTAATTCTCTCTTATTTAAGTATTTACTTGTTCCACAAGAACAGTGTATTTTCTTGAAGATCCATTTACTCTGCTTACAACAAGAAAGCTTTACTTGATGTAGAATGGAGAAACTAAGGCACGAGTAAAGCAGCCGCAAAGCTGCATGTGCACAGGCATGTTTACAACACTTGCAGAGGTCAAGTCCAGTATCTGCAAAGGTAGGTGGCTCAGCAAGAAAAAGAACAAATAGTATGAGGTGGGCGGTACATTTCAGCTCACCAGACCTCCACTTAGGTTGCTGAGATCTATGATGGCAGCGAAATCAGTGCCTCTGCTGACTGCCTAGGTAAGTTGCACTGAAACTGATATATCCTGTTTTGGATCTGGAATACACAAGCAGTTTAATTCTACATAGCAATTATTACCTACCTGTACCTTAATATATATTTTTATCATAGTTTTTCCAGTCAATTATGTCAGTTTGTCTAACATCATGCCAGAGACACTGCACAGAGAACCCTTCCCATAAAGCTGCAAGTGGAAACATTATGCAGTTTTCATAAAGAAAATAACTGCTGGAATGAACAGAAAACTGTTTAACTGAAGATTTGGCACTTATTACTCCTCTGGGGTTAATTAGTTTCCAGATTAGCTAGCTTCTTTCTGGTCTCTGAGTGCACCCCTTCTTCTGTCAGACCTTGCAACATCCCCACCTCAGCATGGAAAACCACAGCTTGCTGACTGCTACAATGCATCTTGAGCACACAACTACACTTAGAGGTACTGTTCTAGCATACCTAATTGCCTCTCTGTGTAACTATAACCAGTGGTAATAATGACCATACAGGTTTTTAAAAAACAGTTTATTGCTTATTTGTCCTTAAACCAAAGTAATGTATATATAACAGTATGGATATTCAGAAAACCAGATTTTTAAGTTACTTAAACATCCAGCTTATCTCAAATCTTCCCATCCTGATAACAGCCCAGAAACTAATTGCCTTGAACAGCAAACCCTTCCGCCACTCAAACGTCCATTACAAAACACTGTCTTTTAACTATTCTCTATGGAAAAGCAACTTCAATTAAGCAACCCTTTCTTGTTTTTTCTTGCCCTTCAACTAAATTAAGGCATTGGGGTAAGTATTTCAATGACCAGATCCACCAGCTACATTAAAAAAAAATAATATTATAGTAGCTCCACATCAATTACAAGTTTTTGGTTTTTGCTTTTGCTTCTATTTCCTAAAAGTAGGACTGCAATTAAATTTTTTCATAACAACACAGATCAAGGAGAGTTAAAAAATCATTTAAGATGCCTGCGTAGCAAACTAAGATTTTAAACAGACAAAAAAAAAAAAAAAATATGTACTTAGTTAAATGGTGGTTTATACCATGTAGCAATACTGACAATGACCACAAGAAATTACTAATTTAAAAAATATTTAATGTCTTCAGATAACTTATTTTAACGATTTACACAAGGTTAACTCACCTGATGCCTTTAACTGCCAGATCTTCTGCTAAATGTAGGTTAGACACTTTTGTTATCCGATGCCTACACATTTCTGGCTCTATTTAATGTTTTACAAATTATATATTTTTTTTATATTATATGGAATATTATAATAGCTACACAGTTGCAGGTAGGCCAAAGCATGATGTTGTTAACAATAACATTCACCATTCAGATTAAGCTATGGATGAGTCACAGGTAAAACTTCCGGACTTTAAGGATCACAGGATTCTTCAAACAAGCCACTGAAATACATATACCATTGGGTTGCAATGCAGCAGCAAACCAAAACATTTTGTGTCGTATTTAGGAAAGTATGTGAAATGTAAGCTGTTCAATGAAAAGTCTATAGGAGAGTGTGACATAAAAATCTTCCATACTAAAAAGACTAAGGAATATCCAAATACCCATCCTTATACTCTTTAAAAACACCAGTCAGGCTGCTAATTCCCGTTCAAGATATGGCATATCCAGCAAAATACTAGCCCCATGATGGCACAATGACTTGATGTCTGATGCAGTTAAAAAAGTGATCCAGCTACTTAGGCACCAACTGCTCTGGTCGACACCATGTGGTTTTTCTTGGAGACCTTCCAATAGTGCACCAAACAACCCTATCCTGTTTATCTTGAGACCTGACCAACAAGAAACATAAATTCTTACAGAACTCATTTTTCAAGCAAGAAAATGACACATAAAAATGAAGCATGAACAGTTAAGTATTAAACTAAAATGAATTGTTTCATTTACTAATATACATATAATGACATTCAAGAGTTACAATATTTAAATCTCACAGTGTTAAATTAAGAAAAAAAAAATTATTTTCCAGTGCTTGCAAACATTCTAATATATAAAATACATGACATTACTACTTAGTTGCATAAATTTTGTTTTGGAATAACTTGATAACATTTTCCTTCTAAAACCCCTGCATACTCTAAAACAGCTCTTTATTTTAAAAGAATCATTATGCTAAACTCATCAATTCTAAAACATTTTTAGTTTTTAGTAAAGAAAACAATTGTAAACAGAGAGCTTTTGTAAGGTAGATAGCTATTACAAAGTTCACTTAGAAAATCAATATAGCATTTTAGCTGGAATTTGCTCATTAAACACCCACAGCTCTAATGCAAATTATGATGGAATGAATAAAGCAAATACATATGCTTCTTTCTTTTTATTAAATGTAAAATCTACTGTTAATTGCATCTGGTATGTCATATAAACTTTTCTCCTTAACTATTAAATGGAAGCTTTTACAAAAGTCATTAGAGATTCTCTTTCTTTGACTTGTATAAATTTCAATATTTGATCAGTAAAGGTTCACAGCAGTTAAATTACATTAACAAATATTATTAGCTACTATGTAAGCCAACTAAGTAAAATACTTATATTGCAGGTAAAACAAATCAATGGATGTTTACAATAATATTTGGATATGTCCATTTTTAAACAAGCTTATCAAATATCATGTAATTCTTAGTCAAATGAGAGAGACTCAAAGTAGATTTTTTCTTCCCAAATACTCAAATTTGTTTAGTAAGCTAATTGTTTTCTAATATGGGCAAAAGTAAATATGAAGAAGATGAACCATACTGACTATGAGTTTACTGAGTCAAAGCAGTGCACATATTTTCTTAGTTGAA